GCTCTGATTTATATACCCTATCCTAGAGTAAACTGCTATTAGCCCATATATGGCAGTACCCCCTCCCCGGGCTATTGTACTAGATGGTTTACATGCAATGGTTACCTGGGGGGCGTACTCCCTTATATGGCCAATAGGGGGATGTGCCGCTGGACAGAGCGTTGTCAGAGTACAGAATCTAGACACACTAGACACAAACGACCCATTGTTAAAAGGCATTTAATTTCCACAAATCGTAACATTTATCCTTACATCAATCAAATAAGGACACCGGGAAAGCTTTCCTTTTTAGATCTTACAACAGGTCGACACAACACCGTCCTTGTCTAACGCACAATCTTAAAAGAAGTATTAGTGGCTTCTATATTTTGGCCAACTTCATCTGACGAGGCCTGGAAAAATTCAAAATGTAATTTTCTGCAAATAAACAATTTCAACACCAATTAGTACCTGTCTAATACCTTTGTATGTACCTGTTTTTATAAAAGTCACTTGGGCTGATACACTTAGCCGGCTGACCATTAATTTTGGTCCATTATTCTCTCTTGATTTGGTCCAATGTAGGAGCAAAAGGAGTATCATTCCATCTTGAAACAATTTCATGGGTCAGGGCGAAAGTGTCCTTTGCAATTTTGTGGAGCGCGCTCCTATGCCTAAGGGGATCGAGAACCCCGAGAAGGAGGAACTTAGATGTTAAGGACAGGATCTAGAAATCGACAGGAATTGTAAATAGTGTTTTGAATGAATAGTTTTTTTCTTTTTTTCAAGCGAATTAATTGTAAATAGGATTTTGATAGTTAGCATTTTTTTCTATGGAGCACTCTAAAGGAAATACCGTGGGGATAGCAAAAAATTCTCCTTCCATGCGAACAACTCATTTTTCCGAGCCTTTTCAGGATTTTTTTCCACAAAATGGAAAGGATAATAAACCAAACCATCAATTACTACTTCGGTTACCCTATCTAAGGATCAAACCAAAGGCACAAAGCCAACAACGCAAAAAATAATCCCCTATTTTTGAATTCAAGTACAAATTGCAGTCCTTGAGGCTTCCACAGTCATAGGCAAACATCCCAAGTGAAATTAACAATTGCTCAGTGTTTGTGAGCTCGCAATGCAGAGCACACAAATTCATATCACATAGCTCCTCTTCAAGGAGAAAGAGCAAGTCATCTCTTAAACCCTTCCATCTGTCATGAAAGAAAAAGAAAAACTCTAAGAACTAACAATGTCACTTCCATTTTTACGGCCCAAACCGACTTACTGCAAGATACAGGAAAGTAGAATTTCAAAGTGACTCAAAATATGTTTCTTTCTAAAAAGTAAATTACCACACTATAAGTTGCACATTTTTGTGTAACTTGATACAGGAAAACACGGGAACCTACCCCCAATATTGGGTTTGCTTTTTAGGAAACAATCAGCCCAGGCTTAGCCACAAGGAACGCCAGGACAGGCACATCCCTACAAACAAATGGCATGTAGAACTTGATTAAGAAATAAATTAGACCCACTAATAGACCATTTTATGATTGAGGGCTTAGTATTCAAGCCTTTGAGTGAATGCGAGGCTGAGGTTTACCTTGTTTAGATACAAACCTCTTTACTTTTCTTATTTCATGGTTTAAAAGTAGTAGTTTTAGCACAAGAAAAATGAGATTATATAATACAGCATGTGAGGTTATATCAAAGAAGGTCAACTCTAGCCTACATAATAACCACATGTTTACCACATCATAAAAATAGTAATAACCAAAGGATAGGGAGTGTGGGCGACAACGACCGGAGGTTCAAACGCTTTTGCTCCAACACTGTGCTTTGTGTAAGTTTCACGTGACAGATGGTCAAAACACACGTGATCAGATGAAGGGACTTGTCAGAAATTAGCAGGGGGGGAGGGGGGTGGGAATTTTAAATTTGGGTGCGGAAATGAGATGACCCATCCCTGGAATGGGAGTGAAATTGGTTAACCCTCCTCTTGACCTTGGCCTAAAATATCATGACCCCCCCCGTCTTGTATATATGATAAAATCTCCTAGGGTGAGTCAGTATTATGAGAGCTCAAAATATATTTCTAACCTGTTTTTGTAATGCCATATACATACATTTTAGATGACAGCATTAAGCTGAGTCCGACTCTGATTCTGACAGCTGATCACTCGACTCCTATTTCTCCCAGGTTTTTTTTACAAAATAAAGAACTTCTTTTTTCTTCTGTGGGTGAACCTCTACATGATCACGGACACATATTAGCATGACCCTCCCCCTTTTAACGGCCATTTGCACCATATAATAATCGATTGTCCTTTCCACATTTTTAACATTTGTCAACTATTGTTGTGATTTAACACTTTACTGGCCAGCATACGCCTTGTCTGCGTGAACATAAGACAGTGCGGATGACGTGACCGGTGCCTACCTGTCATTTTTTTCAGACCCGGTGTTTACATGTATATTCCCATCTGGCGGCCACTAAAAAAACCCTCCAACAAGCCTTTCCGTAAAGTAAAAACTTATTAATTTAGTGTCTCAGAATGTCGTAGTTTTCTTTAATAAAGACATGATCATCATAAAACCGCTAATGATAGCTGTACTCTTGATAAAGATTGCTTTTTTGGGGCAGTAATGCCTTTTGGAAAACGGTAGAAGTTGCACTTAAAAAACTTGCGACTTCCCCGGCTACTAACAACAAATACCCGGCAACTTGAAATCTTAGTGACAACCCAGGTTCTAACCTGTTTTCTTGGGAATTAGCAACAGCCACTGGGTAGATACTTTTACAGCTTTCACTTGAAGCATGTTCAACATCGATAGGCACAATGCCAAACAATACCAGGTGCCGACCTATGAAGGCAAGGAAGCATACGAACACTCTGTAACGTAACAATTGGTAATCATTTGGTGACTTAATAATAGTTTAAAACAATCACTAACTGACATTGTAGTAATTATGATTGATGTCTTAAGTGAACTGCACAAGTAACATTAATTTGATGATGACAGAGCTGATCAATGCATATGTCACTTTACAGACAAGAAATAAAACTCACAGAACCTCGACATAAGTAAGTAACTGAGGCTTTAATTTGGTAACCAAATGCTGGGCAAAAAAATTGTGCTGTTTTTCTGTAAATCTTAATGCATGAACCAAAATTATTGTCAAACCTACCACAAAATGGTCTTCCATCTAGCTTGAGATCTAGATCTTCCTTATCAGGGTCTTGCAGTCAAGCCTCTCTAGCAGCCCAGGCCACTGCTGCTGACAGGTTTACCTGGTAGCCATGTGGTGCTCCATCTGGTAAGGGACTGATGCCTAAAGCTTTTTTTACCACACCAAATACCATCTGGCGCAACGCTTTTAGTTGATTCTTATTCAAAAGGATTGGAATGTCAGTTTTAGCCTACAGAGACAAATGGAGAGAAAGATGCTTCTTGAATAGGATGCTACATTTAACTTGCTTTGGTGGAGTTATAGCTCTTTATGATAAGGACAGGGGGAGAACAGGTAAAAAAGAGACATTGAGAAATGATATAAGTAGGATTGTATAGCTGCCCTCTGTAATAATCTTTGTTCCAGATAAGAGGCAGGTCTTGGGTCAATGAACTGACAAAGAAGGCTTCCTGACCAGACAGATGACATATAAGTTTAAGTTAAATAATACAAAAAAATTAGCATGTGGTCTTCGTGACCCCTCATATGCTTTACATGGCCGCCCACTTGAAAGAATTGACTGGAACACTGAATAATATTACGCCTTTTCTGTTACTCAATTAAACAGTGCGATTCAAAAATGCCATAGCCTCTTTTGCTACGAAAACAGGTAGACTATGAATTCAAACAAATGTTTGACAGTTGATTTCACTGCTAGGCTTTAGCAACTTAGGCAAGGCGGCATTGTTAGGCAAAACAAAAAGGGGTTCACGTTTCTGATGTTCTTTTCACATAGCCGACTTTGTTGTTTGCTCATCAGAGCATTAAACAGGGTTCAAAAAGGCGGCAACCAAGATTTTCAGGATTGTCAGAAATGTAAGCATCTGAGTTTAATAGTTATCAGTTAATTTTCACATTACGTCACCAAAATTCAAACTAAGAAACTATTGATTCTTTTGAGTTTCTACTTTCGCAACGTATTACAGCACCTAAACACCTTTACAAAAACAAATATTTGCTTCAAAAGGGTTATTGGCTTTGTGATAGAAAAAAACTGAAAAAAACTCTTTGAACCTCAGCAAGTGAAATACAGGTATGAAATTAAATTTGATTGCTCTTCCTGTAGCCAAAAAAACTATCGCAAATAAGCTTAAGACTAATCGAATGCAGATACTTAAGATTAAGTAGACTTTTAACGATATTAATTAACCTTAATACTAACTTAACCAAGTATTAGTTGAGCTTGCTTAATTCAGTCAGTCATTAGCACAAACTAATTAATGTGTTCTTAGATGCCTGGCCGGGTTGTTCGAAGCCAGGTTAAGATAACCCTAGGTTAGTGCAAAATTTGAACTCAACTATGAAAGCTTAAAAAGCACATTCAGTTTATTTCTCTTTGCCTACAATTAATTTTGATGATTGGATACTTTAAAAAGAGTAGGGAAAATTATCCGAGAGAGTGGTCATGATAAAAAGAAAAAGAAAGGGTGGTTAAATTTAAACCCGGGTTAACGCTAACCAACGTTCGAACAACTGGGCCCGCAGAAATCCAAACATTTACAACCTTAGAAAGACAGCAACATTAGTTTTTCAAACCTTTTACAAAACTTTAACTTAATGACTTACGCCGGTTCATCCTAGCTTGGAGATGTTAAGTAACGTTTGCCGGGCTTGGTCTGGGATCCTTGACTGCAGTTTAAAATACAATAAAGTCCAGTCCGGCACTCGAAGCGATTGGAACTTGACACCACTGTCACCCAATACAGTTTCCAGAGCTCGCTTATTTCGATTACTTGCTTCAATTTCTTAACTTCTTCAGACAGCGATCCTAGCTGCCTCTGGGCTTGATCGAGATGGGCTTTAAGTCGATCCTTTTCCCTTTCAGTCGCTGAAGAAGAAGGAGGCAGAAGGTCGGTCCCGCTTGACTCTGGTCGAATGTCGATGTCGCTTGTCTACATTTCGGTTCTTCCAATTTTAAGCGAATTTATCGCATCGACTAGCAAGCGATACTTCGCCGCTTCTCGCTCTTTAAATTTCTGCCGCAGAATGGCAGAGACAACTCCAAACAGAGAGGCGATTGCCACTTTGCTGTCTTGAAAGTGCCGGTCATCCAAAATCCCGCCAGTTTTCAACTCTGAGCGCTGCACCGAGGTAAATTCACTCGGAAAATTCAAAACTAATGGGCTGCTTGACAAGAACTTGCTAACGTACCCTCCACATATCTTGGCATCCAAAACATACCATTGCTTCGATGACCACGATTTATCAGCATCTGAAGAAGAGTGCAGCAATTCAACCCTCCAAAGTTCGAAGGGACCCATTGCTGCACGCGACCGCGGGAAAACTGAACTTTCCCACTTTTGCCTGCTCAACCTAATATGAAATCCAATCTTTAAATGTCAGCAGTCGATCCGATTCCTTAAAAAACAGACTTCATCATACTCAGCAGGAATAGATATTGTACAAAAAAGGCAGTTTTTTTGATTAGAGAAATTAGCGCCCGGAAAATGACTGACGCTATTGCCGCGGGCTATTGCTTTTCTGCCTGCTTCTTAGCCTAGCTGGACCTTTCAAGCTGTCAAACTTAACCGGTTTATGACGTCACACCATAGCAACGAACCTCATCGAATTTCTGAACTTCCGCTTACGTGTAGCCTCCCACGCAGGCGTTTTTAGCGGAGCTCGTTTACTACCAATAAAGCACTTTCCGCAGAATTGAAATGTAATTGTCGCAGCGAAATTAACTGTGTTACTCCGGCAATCCTAATTCGTGAGCTATTTTCTTCTCCATGTTAGGATAAGGATAAAAACGTTACAAGGATTTGAAAGCAAGTGTCAGGTAAGTTTTGATCTAAGAACAAGGACGGGCGGAAAAACGGGGGGAGACGACAGCACATTGTTCGAAAATCCGAGCTTTGCGGCAAAAACAAAATAAACTGTCACTAAAGAGTTGTCTAAAACACAAACTGGACATTTTGGGATCAAATGAAAATAATTTTCTGAATAACATTCGCCAATCTTGTTGAAGTTACGTTGAGAGCGGCGTCTGAATCAATTTGGTACGGCAGTTTTAGTTTGGTGCGGCAAAAGCGTTAAGTTCGACAGAGTCTGTCGAACTTTTGTCGAAATTAACTTAGGTTCGACACACGGTACGCCGTCTGAATCAGATGTCGCGCCAGTGTCGCTCCAAAGTCGAACTTATTCAGTTAGGTTCGGTACATGAAAAGTACGGCGTCTGAACGTTTTTGAGAGCGGCTCCGCGTAAATATCAACTAGACGTGGAAATAGTCAAAATATGACCTGGCCTCAAACTAAGCCAGAATAAAGCCCTATGGGCCCTAGTTACAAAATCTTTGGTTTAAGTACGATCGAGTGAATAATACTTTTTTAACGAATTTTTTTCTTCCCGAGACCTAAAATGGGAAAAAATCATTCGAAATTAGAGTCATATTCAGTAAGTACATTTTAAAATAAAGTTGGCTACTAAAATATAATGACACTTCATGTTTTTACTATCTTTCCTGTATAATTTTGCATGATTTTTTCCTATTTTAGGCCTCGAGAAGAAAAAAATTCGTTAACAAAATATTATTCACTCGATCGTACTTAAACCAACGATTTTGTAACTAGGGCCCATAGGGCTTTATTCTGGCTTAGTTTGAGGCCAGGTCATTTTTTGACTATTTCCACGTCTAGTTGATATTTACGCGGAGCCGCTCTCAAAAACGTTTCCTTGACGATTTTTTGAGATTTTGCTCGCTAAACATTCCTTGTCTCAGAATAAATAGTTAACTTTAATCTTCATGAGTTCCTTAAGCGATGAGTTCACGCATCTGTAGGAAAACTCAGCAACAGATGTTTCTGTCCGTTGATTCTGGCGGCCATATTTTGTGCTTCTCAAAGCATGCATGCCAGTACAAAGCTTTATAAATTTGGGTGAAATGTTGTTCCAGATATCTCGCATATGAAGTTATCGCACGGACCTGATTCTTGGCGAGGCTTGACTATGAACTGCAATATTATGAAAATCCCATGAAAATGCCATTAAAAACCCAGGAAAGCATTTTTCAGGGCCCTGAATACAGATATTTCATTTTCATGGCCTATTTTTCAGGCCATGAATTTTCTATGAAAAGTTGATAATGGGTTTCATGGCTCATGAAATTGCCATGAAATATCTGCCACCAGGGTTCATGAACCATGAAAAGTTGGTGTGTTATAGATTCCATGGGCCATGAAAATTACACTCAGAGATTTCAGGGGTCGTAAAAAATGAGAAATGATAACTTTGATTTCATGGTTTATCAATATACCATTAAATATGTGCCATGTTGGGCCATGAAACCATATACGTTGATTTCATGGGCCATGAAAATTCTAAGAAATTAGTTCCCTGGATAGAATCACACCCCGAAATTTATAAAAATACTGTATAACATAAGTGACTGCAACATTAAACCTCAGAATCTTTGGCCATGTTGTACCATGAAGGACACTCTTTGCTTTTAATGCTTTACAACTGCTATTTTTTCACAAAGAATGACACATTGTCAGTTTCTATATATAACTAACAAAAAATCTACAAAATCAGTCATATATGAGGTTCACAGACCAACGAAGCCTCTTGATTACAGGCACTGGCTACAATAAAGTCAGTACCAGTGTCTGTAATAGTGACCAGTGATCACCTTAACAAAACTCTGTGGGCTCAATTAAATTGTCTTTGAAGTTACAATCTTAAAAATTGCCTTGATGGTGTCTGGAAAAATACGATGATATTGTGGTTCTACAGCCAATTATCTATGTAGCAACTTCAACATTATAACATCACACTTGAACATGAATATAATTGTTCCTAAATTTGACACCAGACTAAACCGTTGCATTATTATTGTTAGATGTTCAGAGTCTTTTATATTGACAAAAAAGCTATGTAAATGATTTAAGTCCTTCTCATTCTATCATGCCTTAGTTGTACTCAGATTTCATGTCTAAGCAATGGCGTGGTCTTTTTGTGTGTTCAAGGTGTCTTCAGTTCAATCAATTTTCCGTACCTTTGAGCTTTGTCCAACATGAACAACGTCCACAACACGTTTTTCGTCGCAACTTTGATTTATAATGTAGTCCAGCATTTTCTTTCACAACTTACAAAAACAATGTTAAGTCTACCTCTTCCATTTAATACTTCAAATGCGTTGGAATATTTTAATCAGCGCTGAAAATAACCGCTCTTTCGACCCATTAACGCCGAAGCACGTTCTCGATTAGCCGCCATGTTTTTTGTTCCCAGGCTTCCACGTGACTTTCGCACATGCGCGATTTGATTTTCTTTGTCACGTGGGACTTTTGAACCAATATTTTCGACAAAGTAATGAATCGCGAAGTTTGTGTTCGGGTGGATTATTTCAGGAAGGTATGTTTTCTAATAACCATGCATAATTAAGCTTAAACTTCAGTGATAACTATTAACGCTGTGGCTATATGACCGGTAACCGGTCAAGGTGTTGAAAACACTAAATGACCAGCAGTCCTATATTCTCAGCAAATTTCACAAAAGCGAAAGATTCTAGCTAATGTAAACCATCATACCGTAAAATTCCGAAAATAAGCCCCGGGGCTTATATTTTTCAAAGGCCCTTTTGGAGGGGCTTAATCTAAGGAGGGAAATTTACGTTTCAAAATCGATAGGGCTAGCCTTACAGTTGGAAGTAAATTTATCGTTTTTGCTTTGTTTTACTTTGTATTTGAGGGCAATTTTCCAAGTACAAGTCCCCGGGGGGCTTACATTTGAAGGGGCGATTTAACGCAGGGTTTTTTGCGTTACCGGTTTGGGGGGCTTATATTTGGAGGGGCTTATTTTCGGAATTTTACGGTATGTCGCTTTAGAAACGTCACGGGATCCTGAAATGCTTTATTTTATGGATCTCAAGTCTAGTGTTTGGTTTACTCTGGGCTCAGAGGACAAAACCATGTTTTGTGACACTTGGAACTTTTTTCAGCTCGACTGCCGGTCAAGGTTTTCAAAACACTTAATGGCTGGCAGTCCTTTTTTCTCAGTTCACAAAATCGTAAGATTCTCGCTAATCTAAACTATCATATGTCGCTTTAGAAAAGTCAAGCGATCCTGATCGAGAAATGCTTTATAGATGTCAGTGGGCTCAGAGGACAAAACCACGTTTGTGACCCTTGGAACTTTTTTCAGGTCGACTGCCGGTCAAGGTTAAATCACATCGAGCACTGTGGTGTTCATTTCGTGTGTGCAGAAGAATACTGATCATGATTTGTCAGGTGTGCAGTGATAATATGAATTTTCCGGAAAATGCTCAACATTCTGTTCGAATGGTCACTATTTTCCGATGTTAGCTTTATTGAAAATCCACCTAGAAAGACCTTACTTACTGTTTTAAGCTCTTACGGAGATATACATGTATTTATGAATTGAAGACATGATCATGTAATTTAAAAAGTGAGTCAAACAATAAATTAATTAATTAATTATTTACTTTTTTAAGAGAATAGGTAATGCCATGTAAGTAAATGGGAATACCTTAGTAAATTTTTGTTGTAGTTGTATTTGTGTAAAAGACACAGATAAAAAACTGCCTTGACTGGGTGTGAGGATAGTAACTACTGTGAGTTGCGAAAAAAGACATCAGGACACTTTTATACTCATGGCTGGATTTTTTCGATTTTGTGAAATTTACTGAGAATATAGGACTGCTGGCCATTTAGTGTTTTGAAAACCTTGACCGGCAGTCAAGCTACAAAAAGTTCTAAGTGTCACAAAACATGGCCGGTTTCGTCCTCTGAGCCCAGCGTAAACCAGACACTAGACTTGAGATCTATAAAGCATTTCAGGATCACTTGTCTTGTCTAAATGGACATATGATAGTTTAGATTAGCTAGAATCTTTTGATTTTGTGAAATTTACTGAGAATATAAGACTGTCGGCTATTTAGTGTTTTCAACACCTTGACCGGTTACCGGCCATATAGCCACAATGAGATATTAATGCACAGATATGCCATTGATTGATTCCTTAATTTGTTTACTGCAGAAATAACTGTACTGTTTGTTGCAAATTGTAAAGGGAATACTCTGAAAATTGTATGTTCTGGGGCTGCAGATTATGGCAGACTTGTCAAGACCAATGTTAAATAAAATAGGAGAAGATATAGCATAAGTTTCCGATATGCATGTATGCAATGTCTGCTACAAGTGAGAAGCATAGTTTCCAGTTATAATGATTTGAAAGTTGAACTTACATATAAAATTAAAATACAGCCTGTAGGTTTGTTTATTTGAACTTCGATTCATAATAATTGTAAGGTACATCGATCGCTGCAATTAAGGTAAAAAACCAGAGCACTAGCACTTTAAGCCTGATGTGTGGACCTTCAGTTCAGAAGGCTGTTCGGATACTTTGAAAGAAACAGTCATTTAGCTTTTTTTTGTATAAATGATTGTATTATTTGAAGATGTTTATTTACTTTGTCTTTTCACTAAACTTGAGTGCTAAATTGCTTTTCTGTTACTTGGTACGGTGAGGGTAAAAGGCGGAATGATTTTGCAGAATGGCATGTGGCATGGCTTGCGGAATGACCTAATTATGTGGAATGTAATATATGCAGAATGACCCAAAGAAGTAAATTTAAACTGAAAAGGGTGCCCTTTTTTGGTACCAATCAACCTGCAAATGCAGCCGCTATTTCAATGTTGACATACAATGACAATCAAAAAGCCACGAAGGCTCATTGTTGATTAGCCTTTTCTGCACAGCCACAAAGATTCGTCTTGCCTTTATTAGTTGGCCTGCATGGCAGCACCGATACTACAGCATGAAAGTCGGCCATAATTGAAGAAAAGATGTTTTGGAAGGTCACGCTCCCTTCTCCAAAAATGTTTGCATGATTAACTTTACAGTTTCTTTTTACCTAGATTTGTATTAGCAACCGCATGAGAAGTGTTTCTTTTTCAAACTGTGGGTTACCTGATCATGACATAATATTCAGAGATGAAACGGATCTTGTATTTTGTTTCTTTAGCTGCTTGGTTAAGTTTCCGGCACGCAAAGCTAACAGCTGGCGGAGAAGGGCAAGTCCAAATCCTGGCAATTGAGCGTGTGTCTTTTTTTCTTTTTTCCCTCTTCCTACCGTTTTAGCATTTTTTCACGATCAAACGCACACACTCACACAAAGTAGAAAGGTGCGAAGACACCCGGAAAGGCTGAAAGGAGACAAAGAGCAGTTCGCTTCACTCAATTTCTGGATTACAGATTAATGTTTGACTCGGGGCATTCATTTAGTCTCAAAAATGATCTGCTCCGTCCACCGTATTAATTAATAATCCCTAGAATTGTAGCTAGCCCTACTTCACGTTCAACAAGTGTTTTTTTCCTTTAGCATTTTGACATTTGACTTTATTATAATGGTGGGCAGAAAGAGGGAAAGTATTGTCAAATGCAACAAAAATAAATTAAGTATTAATTAAGTATTACATAGACACAAATGCAGTAAAGCTTATCGCTACTTTCTGCTCTGCCTTGTTGGTTTAAGCTAGCAGTAATTTATGGACCAGCAAAAAAGTTGCTCACTCAAATTGGCACCAAACAAGGCATGGCAAAGACGCGCGCATGTCTTTCAGTTTAATATATTTCTTTGTGCCATTTTCCATATTTTACATTCCGCATAATTATGTCATTCCGCAAGCCATGCCACATGCCATTTCGCAAACTCATTCCACCTTTTACCCTCACCGCACTTGGTATACCTTAATGAGCAGAAATCTGAAAGAACTAGCCACGATATGTCATGTAATATCATAATGATTACAATTTTAGAAATATTTCCAACAAAAAAATTGAAATCCATGTACGTGGTGATGTGTATGCTGAGTAAAATAAATTTGAAAAAGGAGAATATTTCAGCTGACCTTGTCATTTGGATCATAAACAAACAATGTCTAGAGATTCCACTAACTGGATATGTTTTATATTTTTTTCTAATCATGACTTAAGTTATACTGTAGGTTACTTAATGCACTATATTTATGTGTTGTCTTAACATGTAGGCAGCAGGGATGTCACTAAGATTTCACATTGCCGGGTAAATACAACAAGTAGGCGGGGAATCAAACAGGTATGGATTTCTTTTGGTTCTATTTTTCTTCTATTTTCCTATGCAACGAGCCGGGGAAGTGCCCGGCCCACAGCTCTGTCTAGATTTCATTCATGAGGATTTTGCTCATATAGATCAGTGTCATGTGATTTTAAGGACAATTAAATAGTATTGTTTCACGTACCCCCAAGAAAGTGGTGAGGGATTATTTTAATTTTTCATGAGCCATTAAGATACCATGGAAATAAAAATTTTAACTTTAAGTCTGAGTATTCCTTTTTATGGCATGTATTTTTTGTGTATAACAATTTGGGACAATTGTTATTACGCGCCGAAAGGAAGAAAGTCTTTTATGTCATCATGATCACTGCCAGCCGTGATTAATGTAATGATTCGTAGTAAATTATATGCTGGAATTAGGCAAGGGTTCTTCAAGTGTATATAAGAATTTTATTTTTAAAAATGTTCCAGTTGTAAAGATATTGCAGTGAAAAAAGTTGCTTATCATATTTTATATGACAAAATGAAATTATTTATGATCAAAATTTTGAAATTAATAGATGATGATTAATGTCTGATATCAGATTTATACAGTTGCCAGGTAGAAAGAAAGCAAAAATATTTAACTGAATTGTTCTCGGAAGAGGCTATAGGGAATTTTTATAATTAAAATCCTTATTTGGAAATATTGGAGATTTTGAAGATTTTGGAAATTATTAGATTCCAAAGTTGAATATAACTTGTTCACTAAAAACAGCTACATGTTTTTAATATTAACTTTTTTATGTGAACAGTGTTCTATTACTATAATTGCATTTAGAGGCAAGTCTGAATATGACATGATACCGGAAAAAATAGTTTTGTCTATTTAATGCCATGGAAAGGGTGAAATAAAGTCAATATCAATCAAAGTACATGTACATTGCTTGTTGTAGTTCAGTATATGTTCCAACCCATTTAGTTAGTGTTCTCATCATTTTCCATTAGTGAGCTTGAATTAATTTGATTTGGGGGCCAGAAAAAAATGGTTAACAGTCAAGTAGTTTTAATTTGGTTTTCATGGTCCATGTTATACTTTGTTTATGCCATGAAAATAGTGGAAGCCCATTGAATTATTAATTTTCATGGGTCTTCAAAAAGCCATGAACATTTTTCATGATCTATTAATCTTTCAATATTAATGGAATAACCACATGGTTTTTCATGGGTGATGAATTCAGAGGCCTCATGAAAAGACCATGAACTACAAGACCATGAAAATCCTTCTTTGTAATTCACGGCATTTTCGATGGCATTAAAAGGCCATGAAAAGCAACCCAAAATTTTCATGGTGTTTTCATGAGTATTTCATGGATTTGCCCAAAACTTAAGGGTTTTCATGGCCCATGACTGAAAGATTAAGGGGTTTTTAATGGCTTTTTTAATGTTTTTTTTTTCATGCTTTTTCCAGGGTGACATGCCATGAAAAATCTTTCCCTATGAAAATGCCATTAAAATCCTTTGAAAATCCCATGAATTTACCGTAAATTAATTCACAGGATTTTCATGGGTTTTTAGTTCATAGTGTAGCTACTAGGCTATATGTTATAGCCCACAAGAAGCGAAAAGTGCCAGATTTTTGGCGACAAAAAAGGATTAAAGTCTTGCTTTAAGTTGTTTTGTCTCGATATTTTTGACTAACTAGTTGGATTTTACTAAAACAATTATTCCTCTCGCAGGGTTTGCAAATTTTATTGATGAGTGGAGTCACTGTGACTTCTGCTTCACAAATTTTGGAGTCATTTAGGAATATTTGGAGTCAAGTATCACAACGAAAAAAGCCATTTTCAGACTTTCGAGCACGTAGTCCTCTCGTGTATACACTATCGTGATGGATACACGAAGTAGCTGTGGCGGTCCGCTGACCTGGAAAGCTCAAATCCATGATGGCGGTCATCCAATAAACTTTGATCGTAATTAACCCTCTTCCTATTTGGTCGTGCAGTATAATTCTTTGATTTCGATGATTTAATTAAGGTTTACAACGTTTACAATTAACGTAAATTTGATTTGTTGCGAAAATGGTAAGGACAAAACTGTGTTTTTTACCGAAAATTTCTGCAGTCGAAGTGGCTTCCTGTTTGTTACCGAAAATTTCTCGCGTCGAAGTGACTCCCTCCGTAACCTCTGTGGAGTCATCTGAACAATGTTGGCGTAAAATACGCCAAATTTGGCGTATTTGCGAACCCTGCCTCTCGCCTTCATGGCCTCTGAGTCAATAGCCCATTCGGCCCTCATGGGCTATTGACTCAGAGCCCATTCGGGCTCGAGGAATAATTGTTAAGAAACGGTCCAGATAAGAAAGATAGCACTGAACGGCAACGAACATGTTGGAATGCAAAAAAGGTGCTAACTTTTCTATTGTCTGTACTTACTTCTGATTGGCTTAAACAGCAAAAGTTAACAAAACTTCATAAAGCAGTACATAATTCATCCTTACTTTCCAACCATCTTCCATATAACAAAATCTGGTCTCAGTTTGAAAAACAAAGACATCCTAGGTGGGGAACATGTGAAATTGTAAACTTTTCTTGGCTATTGTTTTCAGCTGTTGTGATTGGTCGAAATCTTTTAACACAAAAAACACCCTTTCAAAGTGGAGTGTAAATGCATTTTATTGCGTAAACGGCCTTCATGTAGGTTTAGCATTCTCTGTGTAAAAATGAGAACATTCCTATGTGGGGAAAGCACCGTTGCCGCATAACAAAAGAAACTGCTATTCACCGTACCCGGATCGTTACTTAATTAGTCTCTAGTCTGTAACAACACCTGAGGCTGAATAACACGATATTGTTTGATTCCCCCCTCAGTGAAAGTCCATAAAGTAGAGGAGACTGTTTTCTTCTGGCTAAACAACTGGGGACATGGCAACTTCGTTGTTAAAAGAATTGACGTCACGGCCAAAGTTATTGTTCCTTGGCTTGATTGTCGCCTTCATTTATCTGTTTACATATTCAAAACTGTCTCCTGTAACTTTCAATTTCCGACAGCTGGTTGGTAACGACTCCGAGCCTCGGTTTCCGCAGATCAGACCGTATACCACCATAGGACCACCGAATAAAACAGCGATCACAGACACCCCAATAACACTATTCTTGAGAATGTCAGGCAGTCGGCAGGATCACTTGTTTCGTTTTTATTGTCACCTTTACAGGACTTTTGTTATGTATTGGCCTCCTTCCCTTGGAAAATTTGTTATAGTTCTTGATAAAGAAGGAAAGGACGATTACAAATTTGCTGCCAAAGTAACAAATGAAACGAAGTCTTATTTTCCAGATTATAAGGTGGAAGTACTGTATGAGCCCCTCCCCCAAAAAGACGACATATTGAACGTTAACGACGGTCATCCTAGGGGCTACACCAGGCAGCTTTGGAGCAGTTTCTTTATTGATCAGTATACAAATGACTCCATAATTGCTTGGATGGACAGTGATACTGCCTTTCTCACTCCAGTAACTAAATCTACGATTTTTGCCGGCACGAAGCTACGGGCTATAGCCACTCAGCCTGAAATCACAAGCTTTAGGTTTTGGGTGAAGCATTGGGTGGCAACTAATGAAATTGCTCTAGGATTGCCGTTTGCTGCTGATTTCATGACTTATTTCCCTGTATATATATACCGGGACACCTTTACGCACTGCAGAGAATACATACTAAAAAGATTTAACTCAACTGATCTTGAGGAAGTCTTTCCAAAGTTCTTCGAGACGAACGGGACAGAGAGACTGGAGCTATCCCCTGTCAATATTGTTCTCAATTATGCTTGGTATTTTGAAAGAGATCGCTACGACTGGAGTTTCGAGATCACCAGGAATCTAACAGAATATAATGAAGAGTTCCCAAAAGGCTATGCTATTGGACCTGAATATGTAAGAACGATACTGGCGGAACCTCAAACAGCCTTCCATTCAATGAAAACAAAGGGAATGTGGATATGGTCAAAGATTCTTATCAGTTACTGCTTGTCACACCGAGCGGCGGGAAATACTACGGTAGATATATGCACCAATAATATGCCTGACGCGGCGTTCAAGGATAATTTTCCTCTTTTTAACTATGATCTTCAGTTCATTACAGATCCTCTTAGATCCCCTTGCAATACCGGCAACAATAGCTTTACCTGCCTGCGAATCCTAGAGCGTCATTATAACCAAGTTGGTCTTGAGATTAAACAAGGGCGTAAGTTGGAATGGCGCAATATAGAAACGGTTGAACAGATTGCTAAGAACTCTGGTATAACATGCAATCCAATTTACAATTAGCCGCCTTCAGACAAGAGAAATTCGCAAACGCTACATAAAGTACCTTTAAGCTAAGGTTTGAATTTTTCCCATTTATAAGATTAATAATATACACGAATTCAAAGAATTACTCAATTCTGATTGGCTAAAAAAAAAACAAACGAAACCAGGGAGAACCAATCAGATTAGAGATGTTTTAACAACAACTGTGGCTTCAGTCGCCCATCGATGGCAGCGTTGAAAGAAAACAAATTCCCTCCTTCATTTTCGTGGTTTAAATCTTAAAAATTTCTCCATGAATCCAGCCAGTCGTTGGGGTCTCAGGAACAGACAATGATGAACTTATTCGTCTTTGGCTGCTCGAAACGTTCTCCTGATTTCAAAACAGCAGTTTACTTCTTGCCGAGCTTTCATAATCGAGGTTGATTCTAAAAACATTTACTTTCTCTAATTATTGTAAACCAAGTTGTAAAATCAGCCCTTACACATTTCCAAGTTCTTAGGTGAATGATTTTGAAAGCGTTGTCTTGAAAATGTTTGAATTTGACAAAGTTTGTGATCTGTTTGAGCCAGTCAGTTGAATGAACTAAAAACGCGCGCGCTGTCAAACTTTGTAGTTGTTGTAGTTATGTTTTTCGTGTATTTTATTAAGTAATCACATGATTTATCTCGTGCAATTTGAAATAAAGGAGCACCTGTAAATTTTTCAAAGACCACAATGTGCATTCGCGCGCCCTACGGGCTCGTGCACTTTTGTTGTTTTTGAAAGATTTTACTCGTGCTTATTTATTCCGAATTGCACTCGAAATCATGAGATTATCTATACTAATCATTTATTTTACCATTCAATTTTAATGTCTAAATGAGGTTACCCCCATCCCCCACCCAGGGGTACTCCCATGTAGGGGCTAGGTATTTGCCGCCCGATAGGGTATGGTTTTTAAGGGTAGATCCTAAATAAGGGTATCGCTTTTGGCTTTGTTGGCGTTATGTTATACAAATAGTATCTGTATTTCGTCTCAGCTCGTCTTCCATTAGTGACGCAAAGTACACAAGGTCCACAAGTCATGACAGATTATTGGCCATTAATTGAATCCTAACTAGTAATAGTTGACACTACAGCTGCCCCCGTTCTTTTTATTGTCAGTCAATAGTATTCTTGCTGGTTGTGTAGCTCTTTGAAATATACCGATTCATAATGAAGTTTTTCACACATATCCCATACAATAGGTGAGATAAATACAGGAAACGCAAGGTTCCATGCACAGTTTCAGCTCGATTTACACAGCTTTGATCAAAACATTCTCAGTTTCGAGAATCTACCTGAGCGGTCCCTTCGGGATTTTATGTCTTTACGTCATCCTAACCATTTCGTACTTGCGGGCGCAAACAATAGAAACGTCATCATTACCTACCGATTCCTCGCGGCCCCAGTTCGAGCAAATCGAGATTTTTTCTAATATACTGACTGTATATTTGAACTGTAAGTACTGTCCTTAATATACGCGCGAGTTACCAGGGTGCCTCCTCGGGATTTCGCCTCAGGCGAAATCCCTGCGGGGGCAATTAGGTTTTTGCAAGGACACCGGAAATTGAAACTTCCTCCCTGTGGTGAATTTCAAAGTGGTATGAATCTGGTCATGTCGTGGTGGTGGTGGTGGTGGTGGTGTATAGTTTCACTATTCACGAAGCTGTGTTAAAAATAGGATGGCTTGCCTTCTTTGACTATTTTAATAGAATATTTAATCTAATCTTTTTGCAATTATTTTAATAAAGGGTCATAAAGTTGATTTCGTGTCTTAAGAAACGTGTCTGGTTTTATTGCTAGCAATTATTAGTCGCGTGTTTCAATTGATCCTTGTTGAGTTATTAATTGTTCTCTTTTTGTATGTTTTATAATAACAAGTCAAGATGCTCCCTTGGGGTTTTTACTGCACAGCTAATTTGCATGCAACGTTGGGATTTTGAACTCGCATAATTACCTGACTAACGGCGTGTGAAACGCTGAGACTCCTCGAGATAGATAGGAGAAAACGCGGTTCTGTAATAGTCAGACAAAACTGAAATAAAGACTTTTCAACTCCACTTTGTGTTTGTGTTTTGTTTATATATCTGAGTTTTAGTGCTAAGTAAGATATAGGAAGCCGTTTCTCGCGTTGGTAGGTTATCGCTCCTCTTATTCCTATTTTCCTTTTAATAGACGGTCCTTAAACCGGGCTCAAGTTACTTCACGGGCAAGTCGAGGCAAGTCTATTGTGCCTATTGTGTTCTTCCAAAAGAACAGAAACGACTATCCACTTAATTATATATGGAGGAAGGCACTTAATTAATATGGAGGAACGCATTTTTTGGCGAGGGAATCCTGTATATGTAATAAAAGGAATCCACTTTTTGGGAGGGAATCCAAAGGGAATCCACCAACGGGGTTAATTTCCAACATAGTAGACTACTTACATGTAATCCCTCGGGGTACTCCTGGGAATTCTTGTTGGGGGTGTGCCACCCGGAACCCTTTTTCAGACCAAAAAAGGTCGTTTCAGTTTCACACCGTTTTTAGGACCTGGCCTCTTAAATCCACACCTGTTTTCAGACCTGGCCTCTAAGAAATTAGATCGTCATTACTTAAATTAGAACAGTAGCTAGATGGAAAGAATCATTGACAAGGGCATACAATGAGGCGTGTGGAATGAGGCAACAGATATGGAAAAAAAAAAGAAATATGCATTACTGAAGTAATAGCGCCAAACGCCGGGGATCAACGTATTAGATCATGTGCTCCATTGTCGCCGAAAAGAGTTAAGTAAGATTGGATTAAGAAAAACTGATTTTATTAAGTAACGTTGCCAAATATCCTCGTTGTTTCCTGATTCACGCGCATCTACTCTACTGAAAGCAAAATGTCTATTAATATTAAATTGACTTTCAAGAATAATAGAACTCTGGATGCAGGAAAATAAATAGTTTGTAAAACCTTCCGAGCACATTTTACATAAAGCAAAAATCCAGAACTACTTTACAAATATAAACTAGCCTGCGTAGCATGGCGGTTTTTGCCACGCGAAGCGCGCGCGAACGAGCATTGATCCCGCCCCAATCTCCTCGCAGTTTCACAGCCCTTGCCTGCCTTTTGTTTGCGCGCCCCACCAAAACTACGCAGGCTAATAAATAACCGGAAAAATCAAACACGTCATGGAACAATTCCTTTTTGAGGTTTAAGGAAAACACTCAAGGCTTATTCGCTCGTCCTTCTCTTTATGTAAAATTGGATTTACAGTTTGTTAGACAACTCAATTCAATCGGCACAGATTATGGGCTCCTGATCAGCATTAAGAATTACATGACATTTACTATGACTTGATGATTATTTTTTTTTAACTGAAAGGTAAAAAGTAAAGGCTCGCTATTTTTTACGTCCGCATCTCGAAATAGTCATGATCTTCTTCGTACCACACCTGAGCCCCAACCCCACCCTTTTAAAACCCCCATTAATGCTCCGTTTCACGGGTATTTACAGCGGCTTAAAGCTATACACGGAAAGGAAAGTAGTCAAAAAAGGGATTGGAGGTCACATTTAGGCATCGAACTCGGGACTTGTCCCATAGCAGGCCGCGCAATAACCACCTGTACCAATCCTTGCTCCTCAAAAACAGGCGAAAACGCGAATTATAGCGCAATAGAATGCCTAGCTTACCCAGTGGGAATTCTGTTTCCAAAAATTTTAGTGCTGTTCTTTGACATGATCATTTTTTAGCTTTTCTTCGCTCCTAAATGAAGAAGATATTGACACGTCCTTAAAGGACGCCAGTTGAAGCCCAAATTATGATCAATTATGTCTCACATACACGAACAGACCCGCCCTGACGAGTATCAGTTCGTCTTTTACGTGGTTCGTTATATCTTTCTGTCATTTTTGCAACGTACATACTGAATGTGTCGAACCTCAAAAATCTCTACAAGTAGATTTTCGCAAATCCGAGAAAGAAAACTTTGTTGAAGAAATTCCTACCCCTTGTCTGCTTCGTGTCCAGTCCAGGAGGACTACGTATACAGTATTTCAAATAGATAACTGGGCTAAGTCACTTTCTTAGCGTCTTATCGTATCATATTTGCGAAGAAATTTGTTTTATTTGCCCAAGAAATTTTAATGTCATGTCTTGAGGAGTCGATCTTAATGAAAAACTATTTTCAGCAAAGACCGTGGCTCGAGGTCCGGTGTCACGAACCAGTCACGCTTGCGAATACGGCCATTTTACAAACCAGATAACATGGCAACAGAACAAGTATAAAAATGGAATCAACGGCCAATATAGTTTCAGATGATTAAGAAATAACCTTAAAGTGAGTAAGAACTTAGGTGAGATCCATCAAGCGATCAAGTGAAGTTGGAATTTCACGAGCAGATCGACAACTAAGGCAAGTGTTCGTTAATTGTCAGGTCTTCCAAATTTCTGGAAATTCAAACGGCAGTCAAGTTCAAAAACGTAAAGAGCACAAAATTTTGAACTAATAATTCGGAACTGTGATATGGGTAGGAAATCTAGAGTGGTGCATCCGTATATAAAAAAGAAATTCGGGCTTCTTGAGCGAGGTGTTTGTTTTCTGTACCGCCGGCAATGTAGGCGATTTTTGTAGTTTCAAAGGCTGTAAAGGCGCTGTAGCGCCGGTGCCAACCGGCCGACAATTCAAAAATTCGTAAAAAATAATATTTCGCATTTTCGGTCAAACAAAATACATTTTTGTAACTAATTAGGTTAACACTTTAGTTTCTCAGAATATAGGGGAAATTAATTTTTTTATATCCAAAATCACTGGTCGGTCCTTACGGAGAGACGCTCTTAGGGAAAGTTCATTTAATATGACAAGGGGGGATGAAGATATTGAGGGGGGGCTCCGAAAATTTTTAGACACCCGAAGGGGGGGCTCTGAAAAAATTGTTGCGCTAGGAGGGGGGGCTCCGAAAATTTGTATACTTCAAAACCAACACATGACATCATCATACAGATCGGATGGTTTTCAACTCAACAATTTAATGACCTGTGCAACTCAGCTATATCACGTGGTTTACAGATATAACAAATGTAGTCTCAGTAATTATTACACTCTTGTTCATCCCAAAA